TTTATTTATTTAGGCATTTTTATATAGCGCTTATCATAAAGCTCTAAGCGCTTTACAATTATTAAAACATGTAAACTAAGTAAATACAAATGAGACACTAGGATAGTAACTACTATTCTATAGAAACAATGAAAATAGCTATAAAACGAGGACAATTTGACACTTCAGGATCAACCCGAAACAGAAAATGAGGTAGAGCAAGGAGCGTGCATCACAGGTCATAGGCGGACCTAAACAGATGAGTTTTAAGGGACTTTTGAAAATGGACGAGGTTTCACTATGACGTATATGGAAGGGGAGCTGGTTCCAGAGCGTGGTCCCATGGAAGCAGAAGGAGCGTTCACCGATGGTCTTAGTTTTAGTTTTAGTTTTGAAAACTTTTAAGTTGTAGATATTAGACATTATCACAGTCTATCTTTGGTAAAAAATAAATTTAGTGGTGAAATTAAACGTGGTTCAAACTTGAATTCTGATCAGCATAAAACAAGATGTATTTAGATAAGAATTAATTGTAAAATGCTGACAGCATTTAAAAAACGGTCCAAGTAACTTTAGGTTTTTGTTTTTAGGAAAATCTTTTTGTTTAAAATATATAAAATAAGAATCCATTTCCAGTAAACTACCACAAACTGTAAATGGGTTAAAGAAATACCCTAACCCTAACCACAAACTGTAAATGGGTTAAAGAAAGACGAGTGTTCGAAACATACGGAACATTAAAAATCGTAGAGGGCGCTATTAGAACTAACATCCCTTCGGCAAGTACAGTTTGGCGGGGAGTGAACATAGTGCTACAGATACGTGAGAAAGCTATGAACTTGCTGTGGTGTTGTCTGGCACTGGATGAGTCTACTAATCTATCACAACTCCTCGTGTTTTTTTCGTTTTGTCAAATTGGACTTTCAGATAACGGAAGAGTTGGCATCCGTGTGGAGCATGCATGGAACAAATTATGTCTATGAGCCAACATTTTCAAAAATAAAGTATGTGGATTCAACACATCGAACGTTAGGGATTGATGAACATTTGAAAATAATTCTTTTGACAGGATGCAGCAATTCCAACCCAAACATTGATGATATCTTCAAAGCCAAACGTCGTTTTCACAAATCTTATTAACCCTTTTTGCTGTTAAGTTTGTAAGATTCGAATATTTGCGCACTAGGTCTGATGTACCTATCTTTTTAATAACGTTGCCTTCTTTGCTAACTTTTTTAGTAAATAATTAAATAATCCTTTTTTTTGCGTTTAACGCCACTCACCCATCATTTACATGGAATACTAAACTTAGTTTTTTTTGGTCATTCCCCCCCCCCCCAGAGCTTTCGTTCTTGCTTGCAAGTATAGTACAGAATAATTATTCTGCCGGCACTCGTCATTTTTTTCCGTAATCCTGCTAAAATTAAAATTATATTTTTTTTTTTAATTTTTCCAATGCTTTATAACAATCGAATTCATCTTATCATAAAATGTCTAACAATTAATGCCAAAAATATAAAGTGATCAGCAATATTTTTTACAAATAATTGTCATATTTCCAACTTTTTGTTATATTTCCAAACGTTTGTCATATTGTAATTTTTTGTCATATTTTTAACCATATTTCTAAACTTTTTGTCATATTTCTAAATTGTATCATTGCCTTGCATTTATTTTATCGTCGTTAATTTTATTGAAATCAATTGATATTATTTTTTTTCTTATTAAAATCCTCCATAATATTGATTATAAATTACATTAGAATATAAAGATGAGAAAAACATCAAATCAATATTTTTCTCGTCAACAATTGTAATTATTGAATGATTGCGAGCTTTCACAATGATTAATTATCTTTTTTTTAGATTGAAGGAACACTTTTTTTTAAAGTTGTTTTAATATTGTAAGTCGACCTTTAAAAAATATTTTACATTTAAATAACAAGATCATATTCTGATACATATATTAATTATTATTGTTAGTATTATTGTTATACATTTTATTTTCTATACTTAAAGCACTCTGATTCCATATAGTTTGCATAGACTATAACAGAACCTTCTCAAATATTAAATATTTAATTTTCTTTTTAGTTAAAATAAAATTTTATTTTAAACTATAAACTTTTAAGATTTATTTAACAACCTGGCAAAGATTTGCTTTGATATTTATTCATGTTAATTTACTAATTGGTAAATGAGCATATTGCTTTATTTCGATGAATTTTAAATTATATTACCTCCTCTTTCTTTTTATTTGATAACTTGCGTGAAGCAAGATTTTGATCATTGATAAAATAAAAATTTCAAAGTTTTATCTTGAAATAATTATTGTTAAGATAATTACTTGAAAATAATGAATGAGAAAGTGAAATGTGTGAGTTTTTATTAATAAAAGACATCTGCTATCAATTCTTTGAAAACTATGTAAACCAATTAGATCATTATTTAAATAGTGTTATATAATCCATTGGGCAAAGATTTTCCATATAAACAATTATAAAATGGATAGATAAATAGTTCCACAGACAGTTAGAATGTTAGAAAGATGTTTAAAANATATATATTTATACGAATCAGCTAAGGTGTCCAGATAACGCAATAAAACAAATCAATTTAAATATGATCGGATAATTAAAAACAATTATTGCGATTTTCTAATTTTTATTGAAATCGAATCAAATGATATATGATAACACTAAATATTCAAGCTTATATTTAAGATTAAGTATAATTACTATTTTATGTTAAAAATGCATCTCCATAACAATTAAATACATAATTTAAATAGTTTATCCAAATTTGAAAGTGATGCTATTATTTATATTATCAATAAATAATAATATACAAGCCATTATACAAGCCATTATATCATTAAAGTTGTGATGACATTAATAGGCAATACCCAAATATATGTTGTTTTTTTGCGTTGTTTATATTGCCAAATTGACTTTAAATTTATATTATCCAATGTCTTCAAACAATATCAAATTAAAGTCTTCTACTAAACTTAAATTATGAATATATTGTATTTATTTGATAAGAGCTAAATAAACTCGTAATTGAAAACCTTTAATTTGTCTTGACTTAATAACCTCATGTGACAAAACTGATAATGTATGTTCTCATTTTTAATATTAAAATTAATAAAAATAATTGAATACTTTTTAAATTGTTAATAATAGAAAGAAATTTTAGCTTTGTATTCGCAACAATGAATTAGTTTTTAATTATTTTTCATTTCAAAATTATTCTGTTATCAAATTTATAAATTAATAAAAACGTATCTTTTAACAATACTTTTCATTTTTTTTTAAAAATCCGTTCAGTCAAAATCAGTGCAGCGAAACTTCCTAGCCAAATAGCACTCACTAATTCATGTATCACTAATCCAAATAAGAACAAATCATATTATTACGTTCAAATTAATATCAATATCTCAAAATTCAAATATGTGACGGATTATAAATTTGATGTACTTTAATGTAAATTATAACATAATTCTTTCAATATGCGGAATTATGCGTAGTAATTTTACAATTTAAAAACAATATTAGTGGAAACTTTACAATTTAAAAACAATATTAGTGGAAACTTTACAATTTAAAAACAATATTAGTGGAAAATTTACGATTTAAAAACAATATTAGTGGAAACTTTACAATTTAAAAACAATATTAGTGGAAACTTTACAATTTAAAAACAATATTAGTGGAAACTTTACAATTTAAAAACAATATTAGTGGAAACTTTACAATTTAAAAACAATATTAGTGGAAACTTTACAATTTAAAAACAATATTAGTGGAAACTTTACAATTTAAAAACAATATTAGTGGAAACTTTAGAATTTAAAAACAATATTAGTGGAAACTTTACAATTTAAAAACAATATTAGTGGAAACTTTACAATTTAAAAACAATATTAGTGGAAACTTTACAATTTAAAAACAATATTAGTGGAAACTTTACAATTTAAAAACAATATTAGGTGGAAACTTTACAATTTAAGTAAAGTTAAATGGCGTGATAAAATAGTAAATTTGTTTTCGTATTGGCCACTATCCCGTGCCTGACTTTAGACTTCGTATTGGCCACTATCCCGTGCCTGACTTTAGACTTCGTATTGGCCACTATCCCGTGCCTGACTTTAGACTTCGTATTGGCCACTATCCCGTGCCTGACTTTAGACTTCGTATTGGCCACTATCCCGTGCCTGACTTTA